GAGGTGCCTGTTGGAGCACTGACAAAAATGGTTGCACTGGAGTGAGAAATGACTCCTTTTATCAGGCTTTTGGTTGTGGACACATATACGCCTTCCTAATTCAGTCCAAAGAACAAGCTTTTGGTCAGCATAACAGCTGTCCAAATAATCCATACCTAATTGCATTCACTGTGGTTTTCTCACTATATTTTAAAAATTTCTGGGCTCTGGAACTATTCGTGAACCATTTGAATGCCTATTCATCAAAGTGAGTGGAAAAGCAAAGATATTTATTGAATTTTCTAAAGGCTAGGGAGATACTGGTGCCTGCTAAAACAAATGTCCTCAGATGTGATTATTTTCTTCGACTCTGAACGGGGCATGCCTTGTTTTTGATTTGTGCCTGCTGAAGGGAGTAAATTCTCTTCCTGAACTTGCTCTCTGTTGAGTAGTGCCACTGAGACTCTAAAAATATGTCTCAGGTAGCACACAAAGGTGCTACATTGAAATCTCATGTGAAACAGAGAACAGCCATCCAAATTGCTTATGAAAATCAAGCACATTATGGGGATCACAAAATACAGGCACTGATGAAACCTTCATACTGCACTTCAGCTCTATCTGCAGAACACGAATCAGTAAGGGCTCTAAAACTCACTTTATTACCCATAAAACAAGTGAAAGAAAGAGCATGCATGACAGAGCCAAGCAACGTGACAATGATCTCAGTCACCAGGGACCTCAGGAGACCCTCAGGCCCTTGATCTCTGCTCGCCCCTGGTAATCCCAGCGAGGGGAAGCGAGAGGGCAGACGGAGCACTGCAGATCTCCCTCTCCTCTTGCACAGAAAACACCTCCTGTCCTTCTTCCTTCAGCACCCTTCGTGTGGGCACCTGGATGCCGGGCGATAGAGCTCTATTTGGCCACCAAAACTTTGATCAAGGAAGGGAAAATCAATCTCGTATTCAAGCTTTCGATGAAAGAGAGAAGGCTGTTACCTGGGTTGCTGTGTGGTCTAAAACCATATCAAATACAAATGTTTTTTCTCGGGATTTGTTAACTCGCAAGATGTCATCTGGATCTTCACTTGGGTCCATCAGCACGACCATCTGTTACAAAGCAAAACCAGAAGAACTTGTGTGTCTTTTGGAGAGCTATAAAGTAAGGGAAGCAGAAGTGACAGATGGGCCTGGGGTTGGGTTAATGGCCTATCGGGATTTTGTGCAGCGCTGTCACTGGCATCTTTTGGCCAGAGGAATGCTGCACAACAGGCTTCTGGGGCAAATTGTGTAAACTTTGGTTTACAGCTGAACACACAGCTTCTGCCATCAGAAAGCTGAAAGTTGATGCAAAACGTTTTAGAGGTCTGCGGTGCAGCAGAAGAGTCACAGCATTGGGTAACTGCAGCAGTTACAGCAATGTTGCACCCAACTAAACCCCAAGCAAGTAGTGGGGACAGAACTTCTTAAGCTTTGTTTTCAGCCAAAATACAGGCTGAGAATAGAGGAACTATGAAGGAAAATAAGTTCCTGGGACCAGAAATGCCCAAAGACATCTCCCAAAGCCTTTCCTGCAGAAGCACTGACAGAGATACCTGTGTCCCTCAAATGCAGTAATATCATTCCATTTGTCTCTTTTACCAGGAAAAAAAAATAAAGGATGGGAGAAGAAGCAGAGCAGGTTACAGAGCAGGTTCTGTTTCAGTCCCTTAGGATCTGTTTTGATACATAATTATGACAGTACATAGTAATTATAGTGGAGAAGGATGTTCTTTCTCTTCTGCTGGAACAGCCCATAAGGAGGTGTTCAAGTCCCCAGGAAAGGAACAAACGTGTACTTGAAATTCCAGATCAGCTTTCACTCTCTCTCAGATAGATACATCATTAGAGGAGCAATTAAAGCACAGACCAACCACTTGACCTACAGAACGACTGCACTGGTGTGCCTGCCAGCATAGACAGGCAGCTGGGACACGTACCCGCAGCTCTTCTGGAAATGTCAAGACTTTTCTTTTTATCTTTGGCATTTCCTGAAAATTCTAAGTTTCCAATGGTTTCCGACCAGTGAGTTTTCACTTGCCAGAAGCCCATTTTCCCCTTCTTTTGCTCTTGCTGATCCACATCAGGCCCTAAGAGCTGAAGCATCCTGAGGACAGACTCTAAAGCTCCATTGCAGGTACAAGACAGGCTCACCCAAAAGCACGTGGCACCACTCTGTAACGTGCCAGGCCGCCAACAGCAGTGTGGACAATGAGGTCAGTCTGTTTTAATTAGAAATCTGGTCTGCAGCACTTTGGGGCCCCTGCGCTGCCTTGCGGTGTGCAAATTTTGCTTGCAGTGCATGCATGCATCTGAGTTCTTTATTCTAGCTGCTCTGAAATGTATTTCTGTTAGGCAGCAGTAGGATTCTGGGGGCTATCGCCTTGTCTAACCAGCAGCTATTCCAAAAGCACAAACCTTTCGCTATTGTGCGAAGCTTTAAAACGCAGCAAGACGCACAGTCGATTTTCATTGAGGATCAATAAGCAGCTAGAAAGGGCTCTGAGTAAGTTAATTTGTGACTAAAAATAGCTAAGTACATGATGTAACCAAAAAGGCTCCCAGAAATTGCCCCGTCAATTAACATTTGCTTTCATAATTACATTTACATTATTAAGAGAAAGTCATTCTCACAGATAAAGGTTAGTCAGACTAATATAACGTGCACTTCCTTTCCAGATTTCCATTAGAGGAAAATAGATTCCAGGGCAGGTGATAAGAGTCTGAATAAGCTGCACAAAAATAAAGCTGACGTCCTTGTGAGGTTAATGGCTGCTAAAAAAAATAAAAATAAAAATAGATGTTTCACCAGCGAGACACTGAACAAAAAATACATTACTGAGATAATCATAAAGGGGAAAACGGTGATCTGTGCCCTCTGCTTCTCAGAGCTGTTAGCATTAGAGGATTGTGTGCAGGAGACAAAAGGGGTACACAGAGCTGGGGCACATTCAGCAAGGCTTCAAAGAAAGATCAACTGAAGCAGGAGAGAAAATAAATAGATTTATGTTGTAAAAGAAGGCAAATAAAAAGGCCACGAAAGTGTATAAATGCACCCGTGCACAAATGCGAGCATTTTGTGCTTGCTTGGAGTGCTTGGACTTGAGCACTAGGGTTGACTCCTCTGTCTCGCTCCATCCGCTCCAATGATCAGTCTGAAAGCCTTGAGTTTAACATTTGGAGACTTTAAGCAAGTTTAGAAAGTTTATACTGTTATTTCTCCCATGATTTGTGCTTTTATCTTCACAGCTTCAATCCCCCTCTTCCCCCGTTTCTGTCTCGGACGCAGCAAGACTCCAACTGACCAGCAGAGAAGTCGGCAGGGGGAAGGCAGCTGTGCCGGAGCGGACACTGCGGCACCACGGAGCTCAGCACACTCGCCAAGCGTTCCCAAAACACGGATTAAAGTTATCCATGACAAAGAAGGGGAATTGCATGTAAGTAGGTACCCGTTTCATTTAATCCCAAGTAGCAAGCATTAGGAGCCTGCTCAGATCCCCAGGGGGCCCAGATCTTTGTTTATGTGGAACTCACTGCACGACTGGAGCGATTATACGGCAGCAATTAACTACAGGTGCCTTGTGATACAGCTCAAGCAGGTTAATTTAGTAAAGAAACAGGCTACCTCATGTTGAAAGGCGGGCAATCTGACAGAAAGGTTTTTTTGTGAAACACACAAAATCATGCTCAACAGCATTAATAATGTACAGGCTGAAATACAGCAGGGGGTTGTTGAATTTTTAAGAGAAAGAAACATTATTGCAAAATGAAGCAGCTGTGGGGCTAATTCTGAGGGCCCCAGAGGCCTGATCTAGCGCCCAGCTCCCTTAGCAGCTGCAGGTGAGTTGTGCTGCCCCAGGGTCTCAAAGCTGCCTGGCAGCCCCTGCACTCCCCCAAAGATCACCAGTTGTGATGGTGCAGGAACAGCAAATATGTCACAGCTGGAAGCTGTCCTTGGGAGTCTCAGCAAATCACAGACTTGAAAAAAATCACCTATTTTCACCTTTCTGCAGCTCTTTTCCCCTTCATAAAACAGAGCAGCATCTTCATACCTACTCCTGAAAGGATAGTTAATCCTGATAAAACAATGAATAATGCACTTAAATGATGTCTTATCCAGAGGATTCCAATCATCTTGTTAAAAAGTTACAACTAGTTTCTACAGGAAACAAATTTATTTCTTCAGTACCAAGTCTAGTCACCTATCAGTTCAGTGAGGGTCTCCTTAAGGAGCTCCAGGTCTAGAACACTCCAGGACGGGTTATTTTTGTGCACCCCCAGCAAAGAAACATGCTTCATAATGTTTCATAATACGGGACGGCTCCCTAGATTTGCATCACAGAATATCTTTAATTCAGATAAATGACACAGATAAATGTCTCAGATAATTCAGATAGATGACACAGGATCACAAATGATCACAGGATACCTTTAATTCGGATAAATGAAACAATCTTAGCTTCATCATCTGCCTGAACACTGTTGAATTACACAGCTAAGTGCATTTAATTCCCATGGGCCCAACTCTACTCTCACTGAGAAGCCTCAAGACACACCACTGCCTTGCACACCACAATCCCTGCGCCACGGAGCAGGGTTCAGCATGAGCCTCACCTGCACCCCGGGAACTGCCAGAATAGTTCAGTTAACCACTGAGGGGAAGACAAAAAACAAACCCACACCAGCAGCACATGGAGAAAGGTCCTACCAACCCTCAGGGATTGTTTTTTGTTGTTGTTAGAAGGAATGTAAGGAATCTCCTCCTCTGGAGATCTTCAAAACCTGCTTGGATGTCATCCTGGGCCACATGCTCTAGGTGACCCTGCGTGTGCAGGAGGGTTGGACAAAAACCAATCAGAACAGTCATGACAAAGCAGGAAAACACTTGGGGATTCAATATAACACACACACTATTATTAACTCAGGGTATCATTACTATTATTCAGGGAAAGAATCCCTACAAACAACGCACAGCCAGTCTGGTTTTAGTATAGGTCTGCTTTTATTTCCATATTCAGCTCGTTGAGGGAACAGATCCTTTCCCAATCTGAAAGGAGGAGGATATAGCCCACTGTAGTGCTGCTTCAGCACACTAAAGCACATCATACGAAAAATGGTTCTGCTGCCTTTTCCCCCCAAAAAATGAACACCTGTCCATGCACTTGAGACATAAAAAGAGTCCTGAAACAGAAACATCGTGCGTGTGTGTAAGACAGAGGTGCACTGATGAAACCCACCTCACTGGCAACAGTAAAAAACTGCCAGTTGGTAAGCACTGCACAGGATTCGGGAAGTAAATACTGGTAGCAGTGGATTTAAAAAGAAAAACAATTCATAAAAAAAAAAATTAAAAGCAGTGCCTTTCCAATATCCCACTGCAGCAGGCAGCAAGATTTAAAGGCACTACAATGTGTCAAAATGGTGAAAACCTGGTGCATCCACCCTTCCAGAGTGTGGGAATATGCATTAAAAATTCCAAAGTTGATGTAGGCTTTCCAAAAACGAACCTCTTTTCAGCACAAAATACGGTGGTGCTGCAGAAAAGAAGAGAGATGAGTCGGTCACTGTGCTTTATACAAAGAGCTCACCACAGATACCAGCGGGTAAAGAGGTACACAAGCATGCACATCACTTGTTCTTAAACGGATGCTTACTTAAATCCAAACACCAGGCAGTGTTTCTCTCTCCTCTCCATATAAGGTCTGCCAGGTATGGGACTCAGTAAATCAGGATAGCCAGATGCAAATGTATTAAATATTCTAAGGCTATAAGTTTTTGGACATGTACAAGAGGTGCACTGTCCATTTTTTACTTCAACTCCATTAGCTACCTGAGGAGCCCGAGAGCTGCAGAAGGTAACGCTGCCCATCTCCCCTTGCTCCTCCCTAAGTGAAGTCTGAAACTACTCTGTGGCAGGACAGGAATAATCTGGGGGTTAAGTCCTATGTAAGTGCTATTGAACAATCCTTTTTCTCCTGAATGCAGCTTTGAAGCTTCTCAAAATAACATTTCCTACATCAGCCACTGAAACTAATCTGTATTTTTGACATATAAATATATCAAATGAATACACAAATAGGGAATTGGGAAATTTGGATTGTACACGCACATACAAAATATCAGCAACATGCAGTGACAATCCATATATGAGAATCTGTTGCTACCTGAATTCTAAACAATGTTTCTAGAAAGTATTTAAAAATCTATTCAAAGGTAAATCAGCCCACAGCCAGTTTCCTACATGGTCTTTACTATAGTTAACTGTCCAGTCTTGAACCAATAATGAAGTCTTTCCAAAAGGAGTAATTTCCAGTACTAAAGTTTTTCCTGTCTCTGGCAGAGCTCTCAGGGTTGGAAAACTGAGATTGTTTTTAAAAAAAAGCTTTTGTTTTTCCCCTTGTGTCTCAAAGAGGCATAAAAAAACCTCAGAAGCTAACACAATCACTCGTCAACTAAGCAGGTCAAATCTTTTGAACGTATAGATTTTTTTTTTCTGCTGAGAGATAAGCTATCTTACCACAGTTTTATTGGATTACTCTGGTTCTGCAATGGTAATAATTTCTTCATTGATAAAAAACTCAACGGTCTCCTCCTCCCAGTCATCAACGTTGCTGTCCAGTTCATCTGTGTCCACACCTGGAAGGGAGCAAGCATTGATATCAAAAGTCGAACAAGGCAACAAGGGAAGGATTTGAGGCATTTAAATATGTTCTCTGAAACTGTAGGGAAATTAGAGGTATTTGATATTTGAATCAGAACAAGGATATGCCAAATTCATTGCATCTGGAAGATGAATAAAGCATCTCTCACTATAGGGTTTAGAGGATTTTTGGTTAAAGGCAACACCCAGACCTGTTTAGAGTCTTACCCCAAGGTAAGGATGTGCCTAGCCTGAGAAGGGGCTAGCAGGGAGAGGAGAGGGTACTAAAAGCTCAGGTACTAAAAAATTTAGTAGGCGACACTGAGGCGATCCTTTGCAAAAATCAGTATTTACTGAGACTCAAGGGAAAAAGGACAGCAAAAAACCTTGAGAAAACAAGAAACTAGCTTTGGCAGGAAATGAAAGAAGGAAAAAAGTGAGCAACTTCCCCAAACAGGGCAGTTATTTGGTAACATGCAGTAGTTATTTAGTAACAAGTCATTACAAGCGCTGTGTGTGAATTACCTCCTCGGAGCTCCAAACGCTCATTCCTCTGCTCCAGGTACAACTCCTGGGCCATCTTGCGGTATTTTCTGAACTCTTCCATCATTGTACGTCTCCTTTCCACCAGTTCCTGCAGACAAAGGAAAACAGAGTCAATAAAACTCGTCAGCAAATCAAAACCACATTGGACAGGTTTATTAATGAGCCTTTCCCTCACAATCATACCTTCTGACATTCCTCCCCCCGACACAGAGATATCTTTCTCCTGTATAATCAAAAAGCTGTTCAGGTGAGGTTTTAGTTAAAAAGTGACTACAACAGCAAGTCACTAAAATCCCATAAATACTAGCAATTTTGCTTAAAGAGGTATCACCAGTGTCTCTCCAGATTTACTACAATTTAAGCTGAGAATTCAGCAGCACATCTGTCTAGCTCTGAAGAATTTGATTCAAATAAGGACAAATATTTTGTTATTCAAGATAGATTTAGCTCACATATGATCACTACAAAATAACAAGGCATAAATTACAGCTTTTTATCTACATTATTGGATTCCAAAAGTGACTTGCCTTTGAAGCTTTGGATTGGCTCAGACGATCCTTCTGTTCAAAAATCTTGGAGTATTTCTTCAGGTCCTTCTTAATTTGCTGTAAAAGATAATTTTATTTCAATTGGGAGACCAGCAACCACAACCATCATATTCCATAACAGTGACTTCTGGTAGGCCTAGTCAGGCTCAGCATTTTAGCCAAATCTCTCTCGTCTAAGAAATTTTCCTTCACTATAATTTTATTTGCAATTCCTGTCTGGTAACTATAGATAATGTAAGAGCTTCTGCAAACACACAACTTGTGGAGTCTGGACAGCTAGGTTCTATTTAGTTTTTATAACTTTTCACTGGACCCTAACAGTAAGCAGAAGTGGTCAACATTTCTATGCTGAACTTACAGTTAATATCTACAATCATCCCCAGAAGTGGGGATAAAAAGTAACTTTTTTCCCACAATTACAGGGAGAAAGGCAATCCTATAACTCAGTAATAGCTCAGATCTTTACTCCTGAGGAAGAAATAAGCCACTTATATGCCAAATCAAAGTCAGTGGAAGGAGTCAGTGGCATACACTACCTTTATCTGATCCTCACTGAGCAGAGTAGCTGGTCGGGGTCTCCAAAGAAGCTGACAGAACCTGTCTTTATTGTTCTTCTGAAGCAGGCGGCCTTGGAAGGTCCATAACCAATAGGCATTGTCCACCTGAAAGAGGAGTGAGCCACTTTAGCCAAGATAAGCTGAAACTTAACACTCTAGACTTTACTTCATGCCTTTAAGAGTCTACAAAGTCAATATTCTTCATCAAATAAAAAAGGGTGTTTGTTAGCCCCTTCTCTGCAGAAGTTCGGTTCCTAAAAAACCCACTAATCTGTTCCATAATTGTTCTATTTGTTCCATAATAGCTTTGCAAGAATTTCTCTTTGGAGGATCAAAAATTTTTGAATTTGAGCAACCCCTTTATTATATCCTCAAATCTAAGACTCTGCACTTGTACAGGAAAGGGTTAAGCTGCAGTGGCTAGAACCATGTGATAGCAGTAAGACAGACACGGTGCACCTTGCTGTTCTATAGGGACCAATTCAGAAAAAGGACACAGTTCAGATTAATGAACTGTCCTTCCAGATCTTGTTTTGGACAACCAACAAAGCTAATGGCTTAAATGCTTATAGATTAATGAATAAGACTATGGTGCAGGTTGTGACATATGAAGAGTGATGGGTGTCAATTTTCTCTTCCCAATCAAAAGACCTTGTCAATACCTCTCTAAAGGGTAGAAAAAAGAACTATTAGTACCTTGTGACTCCACCAAGACACGGAAGTCACAATGTATCTGCCTGTAGGATCCCATTCAACATCTGAAGCTGTATAGTGTTCAGCAATATTCATCATGGTGCAGTCAGATGTATCAACAAATGCTAAGGCACCATTCATGCTGCAAAGATAAAACAAGACAGATTGTGAATTTGAAAGGCACTCCACAAGCTTCATCTTCAGAACTCTTTACTACAAGGATAATTCTTTACAGCAACCAACAAACAGGCTAACACCCCACATGTGTTTCTGTGGCTTTAAAACAATGTGATGAACAAACATAAGAATGACATGCGATCAAAAATAACAGATTTCTAAGATGAGCAGCAGGGCTTTTCTAAAAACATACTAATTAACTGATTAAATAAAACCTTCACTTGCTCTGATGTACATCAACTTTGTCATATGAAACATTGCCCAAAGTGAAGAGGGCTACAACGACTGCAGAAAAACAAAAGAGCAGCTACCCATAGTACAAGTTGCATCTGTCCAAAGTCAATGTTTAACTTAGAAAGTAAACAACTGAAGAGTGTTTCTAAATATCACCATTTTGTTAAAAAGTCAGTGGATTGATGCAGCAGAAAGAACAAATAGAAGTTACAGAAAACTGAGCTCTATCATGAAGTTGCATCTCTTCTTTGCTTCTGCAAAGTGACAGCCGTGTGTACATAACATCACAACTGGGACAGCTCACAAGCAATTAAAAGCCTTGTAAGCCTTGGCAAGATCAAGTATCTATTAAAATCCAACTGAAAAATTATAACAGGTCAAAGTTAGATTCTGCAGAGTCTTTAATATAAGATAATATTCAACAACAACAAGGAAGTAGCATGCAAGATTTTTTGTTCATTTCAAAGTTAATGGAAGTTTGTGTTAAGACCATTCATGGAAATGCTATACACTTCTTGATGAGAAATTCTAGCCTTTTTCCTCTTTTAAAATGAATGTGCTGTTCAGTACCCCACGAAATACCCACCTTCTGAGTCCAGCCAAAACTACAAACTGTCCTTGAGGACTCCAGAATATTGTGTTTGCCTGCTGTTTGTCAAATGTTTCTGGAAGGAAACAATACAAATGTAGAAAGAAGTCTCAATCCAATGCTATTTAGTAGTTCATAAGCAGTGAACTCCATTCATTGCTCAAAAGACATTTCTGAACTCTGCAAGTAAGTCCTAACAAGATCAGCACAATGCTTCTAAAGAAGAAACCCAGTAGCATTAGAACATGCAAAGTTAGCAGGAAAAAAAAAGGGTGGGAGGAAAATCAGAAGACCACACCACTTGACTTGGACATAAATTACATCTAAAGGGAGCTTAACTTAGTGTCTACCATTGCCTTGCATGGGTTTCCCAAAGGTCACAAAATTATTCCGCTCAATAAACCTATTATTCCCAAATCTCGGGCAAGGTCCAAGTGAAAACATAATTCAAAGGTCACCAAAAGCTCTAATTTCTAGAATATAGTGTGAAGCATACACCTAGTGTCACACTATTTAAACTACAACTGCAAGCGTATTGTCTATGCTATTGTCATGCAAAATGCTTAATAACTGGACTGTTCACCAGCTTTTAAATCACTTACTTATCAGTTCTATTTTCCCGTTGTTTTTAACATGGTAAAAAGAAACTGAAATTCGAGGTGTTTCTCCATGCAGCACAGCAAACTTGCTTCCATTTGGTTCCCAGGCGAAGGCTATGATGCTTTCTGCAACAAAAATAAAGAGGAGTTAAAACTCAGCCAAAAGACAAACCAGAGCTATGATTTAAAGCAGTTGGCAAAGAAAACCAAAAGGCTGGAGGAACCATTGGTTACAAATTCTGCTATAAAAGACTACCTCATAAAACAAAGGTTGATGAAGCAAATGCAGGATTTTTTTTTTGATAGAAAATGTTTCAGTCACAAGCACTGGCTCCAAATACTTTCATCTGCTACAGAATATGCTCAGATAAGCAAGTTAATTAATCGACAGCCTTAGCATCTTTATAAGATACCAAAAGCAGCAGAGCTGAAAATATTAATTCTGAGCACAGAGAGCAACTAAAGCTCGACTTCCAGACTTTACACAAGTCCTGCAATACAAATACTGTAATTCCCACCAAAAGAAAGAGAACTAGCTTCCTAATTACCATTAAAAACTGTCAGGTGTTGGTGGGAGTTACTAAGAAAAGTGTGTCTACAATAAAAGGTTGCCTGAAACACTGTCAAAAATCAAAATTAAGATCAAAATTAAGGAAACACTTGTCATTACCTTTCATTTCTACCACATCCACTGGCACCTGTTTCTCTCGCATTCGGAATATCTCAAAGTTGGTTACTACGCCCTGTGAAGACCAAGATCAACTTGTTATTCAGGCTAGAGGCAGTACAGGAAACGAGTTTCAATCACTAGATAGAAGGATGGCTAAAGAATTGGCCTGGCAGTACTTGTAATGAGAGTCAAAGACATGAAATTTGTTTCCCAGATCAAAATGGATATATTCAAATATGCTTCATTCCAGTTTTCATTGCCTAACACATTGTGAATTCTTGTTCTGATAAAGAATAACCTAAGAGTTCTTCTTAATAATAAAAAAAGTCTTCCTTTCCACATAGTTAAGAAATGCAACTAATACAACTAAACATAAGGTACATCATGCAGCATGACCTGCAGATCCAACAACTGCACAATTGTGAGCAAAAAGACAGGTGAGGGGGTCTAGATTTCACTCATTTTAAGTCCAAGTCCAAGACATCAGTAAACTCGAAGCAAATCCTGAATGCAAACGTTATGCATATGTGGCACTTCACATAACCATACTTCAAATTCCAGTGGGCGGGGGGGAGCAACGACAAGGAACATTGACATTCTGTAATTTACACTCTTCTATCTAAACTAAGACAGTAATGTAAGAGAACAAGGTGTCAGAGTGAGACAAAAACAAGTTTTATGAATACAGCCAGGATCCACACACCTGTGTACCTTTGGGAGTCCTGTCTACCTTCACGCACAGGTAATCCCCATTCTTCTGCCAGTGCAGTTTACAATCGACAACATTGAACAAATTCCGCACACGAATTTCTTGTCTAGAAGGCAGCTGCATCAAAGTCACTCTTGCTGGGATGTCTTTGTCCTCAGGCACCCAGAAAGCAATTATGTTACCACCTGGAGACCATGAAAAGTCTCTATACAAAAAAAAGTTAGAAATAGTCCATTTAAAATTTTAGTTAGGAATACTATAAGCATAAACTATTCTCAATATTGTAACTGAACATTAAAATAATTCAGCTCAACTGCAGACAAATACTAGCTCTCAATAACAAAGGAAAACAGAGACAGCTGAGAACCCTAATAACTGTATGTATCTTATAAAAAACCACATTTGAACTGCTATTTAAACATCCTGCTATAGGGCGAGTGCAATCAAACCAAAAATAGATTTCAATAAGTAAAGAATAAGTAAAGAGAAGTTACGATCCCTTTAGCAAGTAATCGCGACAGGTCTAAGAAAAAAAGTCATAGTATCTAGACATATAAAAAATATAAATAAAACAAGCTGTCAACAGGCAATATACAGTATACACTGTTTTAAGCGAGCAGGAAGAGGTATGTTTACAAAGGAATACGCTCACCTTATCCCATTGATTTTCAAGCTTTTTTTGTCCAACAAACCCATAGACTGAAAAAAAAAAAAAAAGGAAAAAAAGGAAAAATTATGAACTTTCAAATTAGTAATATATTCCTATATTGCCCTCATACATGGTCTTCTGTTCTCATTTTTAGAATTCATAGAGACAGGAAAGTAAGTTTAGAGTATTAGGAAGTGATTTATCCCATATTTTTGTATTCTGAATATATGTATATCATAATTCTCAACAAAATCATTTTCTATTTTTTGAATGAGTATGGCAGCACTCATTAGAATAGTAAAGCAAAACAGTCTAAATTAGGATGTAGCTTATAATGTCTTCTGGGCATTTTGACATTCATCTGCTATTAGGAATTTGGAGGTGTCATGTAACTGATGCTATTGACTCCTATCAAGTAGTACATTGAGCTCTCTAGGCCTTCTAGAAGCACAGTGTGAAGTTTACTCTAGTTTCAGCTACAGTTTTTTCACCCAGGAGAACAAAAGACAAGAGGAAATAGTTTTCTTTTAAGCCTAGCCCTAGTAGAGTTTATTATTAAAATATATCAGTTAAAACACCACGGGAAATGGTGACCTACTAATGTAGTATGTGCTGGAGGGGAAAGGATTAAAAAAAGGCAAAAAACTTACAGGTGTTTCGTAGATGCTGAGTGTATCTGAAGTCATTCGAGCAAAGAATTTACCATCATGACTCCATCTAAGCAAATCAGAAGAGAAAAGAATATTAAATAGGGAACTGCCATATTAAACAGAAAGTCTAAGACAACTTGCTCTGTATATTCTGTCCTCTACTGCTCTTGCTCAACCTACTTAAAAATAGGCCAGTGAGCCGAGTTTTCACAGTGGAATCCTCTCTTCTTTTGCCCAGTCAGAATGTCCCAAATGATAATAGCCTGAGGGTCATCCTGCGTGTCCATCAACGGGCTGAAGGTCACCAAGTACCTACAAAAGAAATAGTTTCATGGTTGCAACGAGCATGTCCATACAAGCAGGGTTTTCAAATCTAATGCACTTTCAGACAGTACTTTCTCCAGTGGAGTCCTTTGGAAGCAGGGAAAAACAAAAATAAACTGATAGAAGAGGAGAAGGCTTCTGAGACATGGTACTTACGACCAAATCCTTCTAACCAAAAAGGTTCTAGGTTTATGCACGAGTCTTTAAAGTCATGGGAAGTCACCAAATACAGTGTTACTACAGTTCTTCTGTGAGAAGTTATTATTTTAGAACCAAAAATATATTCATTGAACTCTTCTAACCTGAACTATAGAGGTATGCTAAGCTTTTCTCCATATATTATCTCTTTATTACAGTAATCTAACTGAACTACAAAAGAACTACAAAATCTAACATAACAGACGTCACATCCAAATTAAGTTTCCCCCCCTTCCCCGGGATTGTAATGTCTTTGAAGGACCTGTGACACAGTTCTGTCAAACAACTATTCCAGATTATTTTCTTCAAACATTTTCCTGAAGTTTAAAGAAAAAAAAAAAACTAAAAAAAAGAGAAAACAGGAAAAGTTTCACTCATTCTAAATGAAATCCATACATGAAAAGTAACACTTCCAAAGGCAAAGAAAAACCCAAGACCTCATACACGAGATCTGAAAGCACAGCACCAGAACACACGTGCTTCATGATTTTGATCCCGAATCCCAAGTGAAGTCGTGCTGTGTACCTTTCACAAGGCGAGAAGTCGATAAGCTGCACTCCCTGGTGACTAAACCTCTGAATCTGCTTGAACTTCTCTCCACCCCAAAGCGCGATACCTCTCTGGTGGAATGTAGCCAAGTACGTGCCTTTTGGGGACCAACGTACATAGGTTTCTGTCCATCGCTAGGGGAGGAAAAAAATATACACAAAGGTTTAATTTTGTGCTGGATTCCTATGGGAAAAGAAAGATTCACGCATGGCTTGCAGCATCACACCTTGCAAATCCACTTACTAAGTGAATGTTTCAGAATTAACAAAAGCTTGGGCCAAGAGTGATGTTTGGTTTCATGCACACAGGACTTACACCTCAGATTCAACACTACTAGTAAATTGAAAGAGTTTCAACTAATGCCTCAAAATATTTTCCAAGAATAATATCATCCTTTGTACTGTAATAGAGAGATAAACACAGGAGAAATAGACCTGGCTTTCTTTTTATTGGCTTTCAATCCTGGTAGGAACATACCCTTCTCAGAAGTTGGAAGTATTCTAAGCTTCCAAACAAAGACACAGCTCCTGACCTTCACCTGAGGTGCAGAGGTATCAGCAATACCTGGGGCACTGGTCATGGTGATAAACAAGATTTCTCACCACCCCAGGGTCAGGGTCATTTTTGCTGATTCAGTTACACAAGTAAGAAAGTTCAAGAAAGCTCCCTGCAGCAGACAGGTGCAGTAACCGTTATATGCTAACACCAAAACAGCTATTGTGTTCCTCTCCAGCACTTCTACAGTCAGGCAAAAGGGGATTACAGGCAACATACTTAAGAGCAGTTAACTATATAATTCGGCACTGAGAAATAGTACTCTTCAAAATTCTGAGTTTTCAAATCTTTGTGAACCACCTATAATATGCAGAGGAGGAAACTACCAGGCTTCACAGACAGCTAAAAAGCAAGTTAACTGCATGTTCCTTTAAAAAAAAAAAAAAAAAAAGAGGTTTTCCTCTACCTAAGCAACTAAGTCTCATTCTAAAAGATGCAATCTCACTCCTCCTCTTTAGAGGTACGAGAAAGTCATCATTTTAGCAACAAAGATTTCATTTTTTTAACCATAAAACGTAAAGTATTTTCATTATAGAGCTACTGAAGGAGACTGACAGTGTATGTGCAATGTACAGCACTTCCAGGACACTCACTGCTCTGTCCTCAATTTGAACAGGCTCCTTGATATCGTTCCAAAAAATGGAGGTCCGGTCTCCCGACTCAAAGATCACGCTGTACTGATCCCTACAGTCTGGGTCTTCCAACCAGTAGCGCAGATTCCCCTGAGAGAAAAATAAGCAAAAAGTTCATTAGTGAGTCAAAGGCTATCATGACCAGTTACCCAAATTAACATCCACCCGACAGGTGGAATCCTGTTTTATACAGAGCATGCACTTCAGAGTCCTACCACTGTGAAGAAGTTTTGAAAGATGAAATTAAATAATACACACCACTGGTTACTAGTTAAGAGTACAGATCATAAAGACAGATCAGTCATTTGATGCTGCTCAACGTTTCTTGACCAGAAAACTTAAGTTTTTTAGGTTTTTTTTTTTCCCTAAATTATTTTTCTTCAGAGAACATTTTACAAATCTAAGTGGTAGTAACCACTTAAGTTTGCCTTGAGCATTTAAAATTATAAGACATTTTCAGAATACCATTTTTAAATGGCTTGTAAGGAATCCTTCTTTACCCTATGTTTTACTTGCTGTGGAATTAGCAGCAGAAACACCAAGTTCTGCCTGTTACTTCAAGACACTGAGAACAGAGGAACAGGACCATGTAATCAGTGCTGCTATTTAGATCAACATCATTAACCTATCTGGTTTCTATTTTCATGTGAATAATACAGCAGTGAGGTGACTGGTTTGTATTATGCAAAATACTCTTTCTACTTTTTCAGACAACCAAAAACAAAAATAAAAACCAAAAAAAAAAAAAAACAAACCACACAACAGAACTTACCAAATCCTTAAATGGCTGTTTCTCAGGGATTTCCCATTCATCACTGATTGTCATGTACCTGCAAGAGTTGGATTAGTTACACTTGATGCAGATCCTCCTGAATAGAATCACTCCACAAAGCCATAAAGATACATGATAACTGCACTCACTTATCAAAGTCTGTGAAAAGGTTGACTCTGAAAGTGTGCTGCTTATCCAGCTTGTATCCATCAGCATTCTTCACAGCATCCACGGCATGAGATGGAGACATGTACTCCAGAAAGATGTACCTGCAGCAAAGGAATGTGAAAGTGTATTCAGCGTTAACTATGTAACAGGTTCATGCTAAAAAAGAAGCAAGTGGAATGAACCCTGAGTTCAGTACACAACATCTGTAAATAACTTCTTGCCCCTGAGTAGTTAAGATCAAAAGCAATTAATTCCCAATTTGACATTATGCACATATATGCTTCTTAGCTGAAGAGGAAATGCAAGGACAGGTAGTACTGGGCAAGTAGGCATCTCTCCCCAGCTGAATAACAGATCATGTCTAGATATTGAAAATCTTGCTATTGTTGCTCATTCGAAGATATCTCAAAGCACAGCTCTTATTCTCAGCTTAACTGAAAAGTAATTCAGCTTTATCCTTGCCACCAGTACAATCTAATTTAC